TTGTTATACGCGACGATAAATTTGTCCCGCGATTCTTACCGCGGCACGATGATTTTTGCGCGACAGGATTACGCGTCCGTTAAATATTCAACAGGCTATGCGAGCGTTACAACGGTCGGAAAGTATCGGACAACTGAATAAGCTCTGCCTCCTCCTCCTCCTCCTCCTGCTCCTCTTCCTCCCTCTCGGCCGCTGTTATGCGAATATAAACAGCTCATCCGGCCGTTACGCGATCCAGATGCGAGCGACGATGATGTTTCATGTTTACGATAATTGCGAGTCGAAAATGAAATCGCGACACGCGTCGGTGGAGATGAAAAAGAATTGTGCTCGAAATGTGTGTTTGGTGAGTGGATGTTGGCAGAACTTTTAGTAATAAATTTTGTATCGACAGATTTAGAATTCTTTTTCTCATTCGAGGAGTACGAGATGGTTTAGGTCTGTTGTGATTTGGAATTATAGGTGTTGCAACGTTTGAATTGTTAATGAATTGGTGATTTGAAATGTTTGTCGAGATGAGCTGATCGGTTAGTTTTTGAACAAGATTGGAAATACTAACGGTTTCATCACTGAAAACTACATGAGTTTGTTTCGATAACAATTTGAAAGGTTTCTACGGAACAACCATGACACAATGTTCACGCGAACGATACGCGATCGTGGACGATAATAAAAAATCTATAAATCAAACAAACCGATATCAGCGGAAGAGTGAAACGGTTAAGGGGATCGAGTGGAGGAAATGAAATACCCAGCCCGGAATGAAATAGCAAATTCCGCGATTCGGCTAGATTGAAATAGACGAATTAAATTATTCACTGTTCTCGTGTTTCACGTATCAAATCAGTGAACTAATTCGCCGGCCGTTTGAACGCGATCGCTGAAAAACGAGAAGGAAATATCTGCGTTGAGGGTTTGCGGAAACTTCGAGTGTCTCGTCATGAAATAACCAAACATACATTCGAATTGGATTCAAATATTATTAACAATGTACCGAGTGTTTAAGAGAATCTAACTGTTTTATTAAACGACATACTTTCTTCAAATTCAATGACGGTTAAATTCTATCAAAATTCCATGAAATTTAACTGAAATTTAGGCGACTAAAATTATCAAATTCACTTAATTTTAACGTAGTAATCTTCAATTGATTTTCAAATAATAATTACTAACTATTTCTATCGATCGATATTTATATTGCCAACTGTTTTATTAAACGACACACTTTCTTCAAATTCAATGACGGTTAAATTCAATGAAAATTCCATGAAACATAACTGAAATTTGGTCGACGAAAATTATCAAATAAATCACTTAATTTTAAAGTACCAATCTCCAATTGATTTACAAGTAATATTTAACAACTATTTAGAAATATTTGGTAATTATTTCTATCGGTCGATATTTATATTTCCAACTGTTTTATTAAACGACGCACTTTCCCCAAATTCAATGACGGTTAAATTCTATCAAAATTCCATGAAATTAACTGAAATTATCAAATTCACTTAATTTTAAAATAGTAATCTCCAATTGATTCACAAACAATAATCACTAAATATTTCTATCGCTATTTATATTTCGAATTCGCCTACCGTCTCTACGAATTAAAAGACGCTAATTGATTAATCCACTTGATCAAGATTAAAGCCACAAATTCCGAGTCACGACTGTCAAATTAAAATCGTTTTTGCGACGCAAAGAAACGTCACCGCAAAGGTTCCGCGGTGAACGACGTGACGGAGGTCCCATTCGGGGAGGCGAGACGGCGGCCATGCGAACGAGTAATTACCGCATTGCTAATAATACGCCGACAAGAATGGATTAACGTGTCCCGCTGCATTAGGGAAATTACCGGAAACGCTGTCGCTGGGTTTATTGTTTGACACAGAGAATGGATCGCGGGACGCGCACTGTCCGCGGAATTATTTTCGTCTATTCATTGCAGTTCCTCGTTCGATCGAGTCGATTAAAACGATTGACTTGTTCAACCTTACGTTGACACCTAAAATGTTCACTTAACCAGTTAACTGTGTTTCACGAGTATAGACGTCATCGTAAAGCTTGACGATACTGATTTTCAGCGATGAATTCTTTATTTTTCACATAAAAATTTGAAAATTCTTTGCTTCACTTTGATCTTTCATTAAAATATACTCTACGTGCATTCGTTCGCTCCATTCTTTTATTTTACTGCGAGAACGAGAGGTTTCTCCAACTGAATTCCACAGTTAACTGGTTAAACTTTAGTATTTCAACATCTTTGTAAAAGTGTTTAGATACATTATTCAGTTTAGTTTCACAAAACGTTCCGGTGTTTGTATTCTTGTGAATTTTCTCCAGAGTATAAGAAATCGCGTGAAAACATTTAAAGATGGCTGACTTGGTCTGAAATTATGTAGCGTAAGTCGAACCCTTTTCGATCGTCGACAACGATGCTTCTCGAAGGCGTAGGATATTGGTCTCAGGCAGTCAGTTATTTTAATATATACATATTTTAGTCTGTTACCTCATGTTTCATTAATCGTGTTAAATGGGACCGGGGACCGCGTCGCAATTAATTCGGCGCAATGCAATGAAAACAGTGCTCCCTTTCGGTAGAAAGTGACACAACAAGGAACTGTACTCTAATGAAACATAAATTAGAATGTTTCTTAAACGATGCTCGTTCGGAAATTGATAGTTTCGAGAAGACTTTCTTGGATCAGTTTATGACTCATTTGATATCAAGAACTATAGGCTGCTTCTTACTACTGATTAACCCTTCCTAGACTGTGGACATTTCTAGTAATATCAAATTTTCATATTTACAGTACTAAGTCGCAAACGAATGGTTCAATTACTCGAACACAAAGGGACCAGTGTATAGTCTCCTTTTTTCCATCGTCTAAGCATTCGATTTATATTTTATATACTTCGAGGAGTCTTCATCCGCAGTGTAATTAGGATCGACACTATGTATACATATATTCATCGTATAATTGATCCATTATTCCTAGAAAAATCAGTGATCACTCAGTTACTTCTCAGATTTCCAAAACTAGAAAATTGTGACACAATCGTCAAAATCGCATCAATCAAAATCAACGTAAACATTAATCAAGTAACGTTTACTAAATTCCGTGAACCCAACGCAAAGGGTATACTTCTTCCAAATGAATCTACCTGTTGAGAATGAGCATGAAATATATTTTTAATGGCTACAAAGTATCCATTAGTGCAGTCTTCTCTCTCGCAGGAGTCAATTGTTTTTCCCGACATTTTTATTGCACACGCGTCCTTTTCTTTCTGCGTTCGTCAGTTCGTAGCAAACGCTCAACCGTTGAACAACGTTCCGTTTTTCAGTTTTTGTAAAGCGCAGTAATATACACTTTAATAAATATACACTCAGTTTCTTCAAACTGTGTTGTTTATTTTTACAAATAAATATTTAACAAATCGACTGCTATAGCAGGTTATATAAGCACTCTTGATCGTCTTAATGGTTTTTTAATGGAACCCCATTATCATATTTCGTATATTTCCGATGATTCCCGCGTATCCGAATATTCGCGTGTATTTCGGAGTCGTTGAAACGAATGGCGTCAAAGTGGCCACGATAAAACTAAAATGGCACACATGTGCCCGCGCGCGGAATAAAATGTAATTAATTTCTCGCGCGTTAATGTTTCATTTACAGTGAGCGTCGCGTCGAGGGGCTTCGAGGCGGAAATATATGAAAAATTATGATTATTCGCTTTTGATTGCTTAATATTATTCATCGGCGAGGAATAAATACACGCCCGTTCCGCGAGCGAATATTATTGAAAAATCGGCGCGCCGCGAAGTTATTTACCATTCTTCCTTTCGACGTTCCACAACGCGCGAAATGGAAAGTATTTGAATAAAATATCCGGCCGGCGGATCGTTGAAATAAACGGCGGTAACGAACGTATTAATTATCGGAAATCATTTGTTTCTCCCGTTTAAAATTACCGCGCCGCGAGCGTTCGCGCGGTTTCCAATTTTGGAGAATAACATTTCGGAAGATCGACGCGATGTGCGAAGCTTACGACGCTTGCTCGAGGAATCTCGCGTTCGTACGTGGGAATAAGAGGAATATCGTTGTAACGACGGCTTCGTTGCGTTCCGTGCGTTTTACGCAACGATATTTCCCTAATGGGAACGAAAACGTGCGAATTTCGTAATATAATTTGCGACTCGCGGAGGAATAAACGGCGCGCCTGCCACCGACATCTCGTTCGATTGTTGTTAATTGGAAAAATTGACTGATGGTCAGCGGGCGAAACGCGATAGAATTATATGGGGAACGAGATATTAATTGCTGTGTATATCGTTCCCGTGTTGATTATATCCCGGGCACACCGACGAAAGCTCTTCCGTTCCGATTGTCTTTTAAGCGAGCGCGTGGGAAAATCGTGTTGCACGGCTCGCCGAATATTTATATTCTTTATTAGGATCGTTTAATTAAACACTAGAGATAACGTACGTTATAGATATTAAGAGGTATTAAAACATAATCCCCTCGGAGGATATCATTTTCAAACAATTCAGTTCGTTCGTTAATTGCTGATTTTCCAATGGATACTCGAACGTTTGTTCGCGAAAAATCCTGCGAATTAGTGGCTGGAGTATTGATTTAGATTCTAATATTGTGTTTCATTGAATATAGATTCATTAGTTTATGATTTTCTAATGAATACTGCGACCTTTGTCCGCTAAAAATCGCGCGATTCGATGACTGGAACATTGATTTAGATTCTAATATTGTGTTCAGGGGAATATAGATTTATTAATTTCTGATGTTCTAATGAATACTGCGACCTTCGTCAATTACAAATCGTGCGATTTGATGGCTGGAACATTGATTTAGATTCTAATATTGTGTTCAGTCGAACATAGATTATTTTCTGGGAGAAAATTTCGTATAATCGAGGTGCTATTTGAGAGAGACATCTAGAATTAAATGATTACTTTGCTTATAATAGGAAGTAACTCACCTTTTTCATGTTTGTTGATCATTATACTCTGCCCGTCCTCCCTCTTCCACGATATTTTCGGCGTCGGGTATCCGTCCGCTTTGCACGTCAGGCTGATGTTGAGATTTTCTCGTATTGCCACCGTGCTCGCGGTAGACAGCGAATCCAATATGTTGGGCGGCACTTTAAGTAGAATAAGGAAGCGGTATATTATGCGACAGAAATTGCGAGCTGCTCCGTGACTTGGATGCGAGGCGCTAAGAATAGAATCATTCGGGAGCGAGTGTGATAAGTATTCAAAAGTCCCGTGAACCGATAAGTGAATTTATTCATTTGCGTATCGAAACGAAAGCTACTGAATTAAGCTATATAATAAAGCTATATAAATTACTCTTACTAACAATAACCCTTAGCAGTCCTATGTCGAGTCAGGCTCGACATTCTTTAAATTTTCTCTACCTGTTTTAAAAATTTTTCTATGTTTGTTTGTAGTATCACAATTGTATCATTTAAACTAAGTCGACGAAAAATCACGCGTACATTGAGGAACAAAGCTATTTCATTCGAATATTTCTCAAAATGCTGCATTACAGGAAATATAATATTAAATATCAAATTTTACAGTTTCACTGTATGAAATCGGGTGGTGAGCGAGAGTCAGCTCTCGAGTGCAAAGGGTTAACGAACGAAAAACGTTTCAGAAATTTTTGCAAAGAATTCAATGGCGGTCGAGTAGAGTCGGCGTTAAATAACTGGAGCACAATCGTCCCATTGTGGTCTGGGAAGTGTCTTGCGCGGGAAGCGATCCGTTTAAGATGGATTTTCGTTAAGGCACTTAGCGCTCTCTCTCGCTGCACGGAGTTTAATAATTGCGTGCGCGGTTGGCTGGCCTTAAGCCGTCGAAAGAAGATTAAATCTGCTCACCGACTACTTGCAGGAAGCCGACCTGGCTCATCATGGGGATCGTGTTCACTTGACACATGTAGTAACCCCGATCGTCTTGTTGCACGCTGCTTATGTGAAGCAGCCAGGTTTTCTGGTTGTCGTGGGACACCGTGAACCTCGGTATCCTGACGACCACGTGCTTGTGAACGGTAACCACCATCTGACGGCCCACGTGGACCCACGCCACCTGTGAACAGAATAATAATCTCGCTGATGCTTGCTCCGGGAAACGCGATTTTAATAAGATTATAACAGGAGGATTCGATTTTCGGGAACGAAAGGATAGTTCGGGGTACATTATTCATTGTGGTTATCACTTCGCGAGAACTTTATTCTTTAGCTTGACTTCATTCTTTTGTCACCTAGCCAACTTACGACGACGTGAAGTTGTCATAAATTTCGATACCTCGAATTTCAAGTTTTGTGTCAGTTACTGTGTGAAATTCTTATGTACTTTCTTGATCTTTATACTTGTTCGTTTCAAATGTTTATCGACTGCTATTCAGAAGATATTACTGTACTATATGAGAAAGAGAAGTCGTATAAATCAAATCCTATATCAAACCTAATAACACAGACGGTAGCAATCTTCAATCAACCGCATTTCTATTTACCATCAATATCGAATCAACACTTACTATTCAATAGCTATTACTACGTTAAAAGATGAGTCACTCTTCAAAGTGAAAATCCCATCAGAAACCTCAAGCAATAAACAATCGCTTGACTATCAATCTCAGCTTCTCCGTTGCGTATTCGTCTTCCTCCTAATCATTTATTTCCATTTCTATTCATACTAGCTTGCAAATGAAAAAAACGGAACCTTCACACGCTCTAGAATTTTTCATGTTGAAAACATTCACCATGAGTCTTGTCCTATGACCTCTTTCTCAACTCTGATCGGCACAGCTATTTTGTCACTGATCATTTATTGGAAAAAGAGAAAAATTCTAAGCTTATGTTGATTCAACAAATATATATTACTCGGTGCACTCGAATTCAAAGTAAATATTATTCCTCTGTGATCAACTATTATACTTCAAAGGAAATATAGGAATAACATAAGCTTAGAATTTTTCTCTTTTGAAAGTATTCACCATGAGTCTCGTAGGACAAGGAGTTAACCCCTTGGCCTATGATCTCTTTCTCAACTCTGATCGGTACAGCTACTTTGTCATTGATAATTTATTGGAAAAAGAGAAAAATTCTAATGTTATATTATTCCTATATTTCCTCTGAAGTATAATAGTTGATTACAGATAATATTTACTTTGAATTCGAACGAACCGAGTAACATATATATTTGTTGAACCACTTGCGGTGTAAAGAAATTCACGGAGTTCGACGTGTTCCAGAAGAGAATATAAAAACGCATCAACTAGCAATAAAATCACACATGTATAAATACTAAATTTGTTTATTAGTAATCTTGAATATTACAATATTCTTCAAATCAATTTGTAAAATTGACATTTCTGTGACAATTACCTGTCGACGTGTACACGTCGCTGACGTTCCCGTAACAGAAGCATCTCGACGTGCGTGGCACATTTCTCCGCAAACGGTGAATCACATTGAAAATCTTCACCACGAGTCCCACTCCTTGTCGTAGGACAAGGGGTTAAGAAAGTCAGGAAGGAAAGCGATTCGCAGGTCGCGACCCGTCGAGGTTGAACCGAGTGCTCGACGGTCCGCCGCGAAGAATCCATCGAATTCCGGCCGTCGTCAATGGGCCGAGAGTCATTGGACGCTCTACAAGTGGCGGATCGCACAATACAAAGCGCGCGCGGAACGCCGGGAGACCCGGGGAGCGAGGAAAGAAGCCCGGCGCGCGTCGAACCGGCTGAAACGACAGCGGGGCGCAACCGGGCCGCATCAGAAATGCTATGAACAAACATTATTATGACCGTATTTTACGCTCCGCTGGGCTAACGTTCCCCTAACTAAGCTCATTCCAACGACAAAGCTTATGCACTTGCGAGGATTTCTGGGTTAAACTGGCTGCCGCCCGCGCGCCCGCCCCTCCGACGCCGCCAACCCCCTGACCGTTGCCGCGCCGGTTCAACCGTGCTCTCCCCGGTTGGCACTTCTTCTTTTTCATTTCCTTGGCAACGCTCGAGAACGCTCGGTTGCGCGAAAGCG